TCAGGAGCAGATGGATGTGCGTGTATGAGTGAGACATTTTCTCTTCTCTAGGTCACACACTCACAACTAAACTCATCCCCCCACCCACACACACACACACACACACACACACACACATACACACGCACGCAGGCAGGCACTTTCACTGTTTGCACCCTCCCGCACTTCTGGCTGCATGCTCCGTTTCACATGCATCAGGAGTTTCTTGCTAGTTCAGGCCTCAAGGGGTAGAGCAAGAGAGTCTGGGCGAAGTCCCCGGCGCCGGGACGGGCGGGCCTGGGGCCGGAGGAAGGAATTGGAGTTTCCTCTTTTTCTGAACGAAGGCGAGGAATCTGCCTGGGATTCCGCCACCGTGGCCACAAAGGAAGCTACTGGCCCTCGGGTCTGCTGCCTGACCCCGCCCCAACAACATTGCTGCCACTAGGGAAGGGGTGTGGGACGAAACTCCAGGCCTCCGGAAAGCTAAAGAGGGTCCAAGGGCTGGGGGTGGGGTGCACTTGGGTTCCCAAGTCTCACCCTGGGCTGCAGCCTAGGGGAGGGAGCCAGGCAAGCTTTTGGGGTGGCGGCAGAGAGAAAAACAGAGAGTAGCAGGCAGAGGGAAACTGAATCACAAGGGGAGGGGCAGAGATAGACTCCCCACCCAGAAAGAAAAGGAAAAACCAGGCAGCCTGAAGAAGTCTTATATAAACCAATGAGCCAATGAACGACTAAATCCTTCATTTTCGTTTCAAACAAATTAAATTCTGAGAGAAGGAAGGAGGTGGGGTGAGAGAAAACAAGAGTTAAAGACACAAAGCCTAAAGGAAGAGAAGTAGACTATTTGAAATGCAGGGAGGAAGGAGAAGACGAGAGACAGAAAGAAACATAGAACGAAAAGGCAAGAAAGGGGAGGTGGGAAGGAGGCTGGCGTCTGCCACTGGGAGAGGTCTCCTGGCTTCTTGAGGCTTCATCGATCGCCTACAAATTGCTTCTGGAGGCCCCGGGGACTCCCATTAGATCTGTCCACCTTAGAGACAGACGTTTGATCTCAGTTGACAGGGTGGAGGGGAGGCATTAAATGGAATAAATGAGTCATCGCCTCCCTAGACCGCCTCGGAGGAAACTGTCTTGTCCAGCGAGAGTCCCAGCAGGGCACAGGGCTCGGTGCAGGAGGTTGGAAGCCTGGGACAGTTTCACAGAGAGAAGGTGTCGAAGAGAGGTCTGCCAGGGCAGCTCATATCCACTGGCCTTTGTCTCTGCCCTGGACTGGTGGGGAGGTTGAGGCCCCTCAGGCTTGGGAAGGCACCTGGTCTTCCTTGGGGCTGGGGAGAGGGGAGGTGCGATCCTAGCCCTGTCTGTGCCTTCCAAGGCTAGTGCGGGTGTGGGCCCTGTGTGGAGATGGGAAGCCTCAGATGCCTGTGCCTAGTGGATTTTCCCACAGCTCCCCCAGGATACCCCCGCTCCATCTACTTTTGGGGTTTCCAGTCTTTGAGTCAGGACCCTCAAGATAAGGAGCTGCATTAAAGGGCCCAAGCTGGAGTTGGGGGCCACGAAAGGGAGCAGTGCTCTCTCAGACGGTCTCTAGGGAGCACTCCCGAAGCCTCGGTAACGGCTTGTCCCTGGTGCAGGCGGCAGACTGCGGAGGAGCGTGAGGCCGAAAGGCAGCAGGCGAACCGCATCCTCCTGCAGCTGCAGCAAGAGGCCTTCCAAAAGAGCCTGGCGCAGCCGCTGCCCGCCGACCCGCTATGCGTGCACAACTCGTCACTCTTCGCCCTGCAGAACCTGCAGCCATGGTCTGACGACTCGACTAAGATCACCAGCGTCACGTCCGTGGCGTCGGCCTGCGAGTGAGCCTGCCTGCTCAGACCCTCAAGACCCAGGGCACAGCCAAGGGGTGGCCGAGGCCGGAGAGCCAGGACTCTCGCCAGCTCTCCCGCCTCAGACTGCGAGCAGCAGGGGAACCCCACGCCCCTCCCGCACCCGCCCACGCACTCATGCCAACGCTGTTCTCCTTTTTGTTAGAAAAGAAAAGAGTGCGCAGGACAGGAATACATGGCCGCTTCCCAGATGCCTATGTGGTCCTGCGCCCTCTGGAACTGTTAAGAGTCCTCTGTGTCCATTTTATTTTATTCTGATTTTTAATGTGAGACTGACAAAGGCAGGAGAGGTGGTATAAGAGCTTCTGGGGTCCCTAGAGGACAGCATGGGCTGTCATTTGAACTTGCCCTGGGGGGAAACCCCTCTCTGTTTCCCACTCCTCATCATTCACTGACACCCACAGGCCCACACAGAGGCAATTTCACTGTCCCTGCTGGTGTCATCCCACAGTCACACACAGGGGACCTATGGCAGAATGTAATGTCATGCATACACGGGACCATAGCCTTCATACACTTGATCCTTACTAGCAGGCATAGTCCAGGGGTGACCCAGATGCATTCTGAACAGCATGGGACTTCTCACAAACACAAGGCCACAGCCGCACTGTGACATACCATCGCACACACAACAGCCACAACAGCGTCACTTGGCCTTCCAGGCCCCCATCACACATCCTAGCCGCACCCAGGTACGCATAGGCAGGTTCCCACGCAAACTCAGCCTATTTCTCCAGATCCTGTTCGTGGGTGGGGGGAGGGGTTAAGTTATGCACTTACAAAGGTGTTTTTCTGTGTAACCATTTTATAAAGTGTTGTGTGTAATTTATGTGAAAAAATAATAAAACCCTCCGGATCCAGAGTCAAGGCTGCCTGCTCCTTGCTGGGCCCAGCATCTTACAGCTTCTTGGGTTTGGTGTGAGCTAGTGCAGCCAGAGCAGATACTGGTAACCTAAGTCTGAGGGACATCTCAGGGCCAGGACTTATACTATCTGGAGACAGGAAAGTAGGAGGGGGAGAAATGGAGAGAAGGCAACACTGAGGAAGGATGGGAGACCTAGACTCTCCTGAGACAGCTAGTAGAAAGGATATGTCTTTGGGTGTGAGAGTTGTGTGTGTGTGAATTGTGTGTTTGTGGTGGTGTGGGCAATCAAGATGTTATTGATAATGAATATTTGTCTGTAATTTGGTTTGCAATTATGTATGCTTGTTCTGCTTAAGTTGCAAACCGAAACTACCATTGTATATACAAACTTGTAGTGTGTGTGTATAAACATGTGTGAATGTGACTGTCTTTTGGGGTAGTTATGTAATCACTCACCCATGTTTGTGATTGTGTCTGAATCATGTGGTAACGTTTGTGAGAGTACGTATTAGTTTCTTCTTGTGAATCTATTTTTGTGTTAAATGTGTGACTATTTGTGATTGTGTATCATCTATAATTGCATGAGTGTAATTATGTATGAGATGTGTATTTTACTGTACATATTTGTGTGGGACAGTATACAATTAGGGGAGTGAAATAATGGGAAGTGTACATCATTGTGGGTGACTGTCCCTGCAAGCGAGTGTATGAGGTGGTATTTAAGTAGGTCTAATTATGCACTGGTGGTGTACAGGGTGGTGGGGGGTCTAAGGTGGGGTGTGCAGATACATTGTAGAGTATGAACATCTGCTAGGAATCTGCTAGGCCCTTACCCAGCAAGCTGCAGAAACTAGGGCACGCTGAGTCAGGAATCAAGCCAGGATCCTCTGTATGCTCTAAGCGGGACTTCCCAGCTCCAAGACTAGCCTGGCCTGGGAGGGATCTGAGTAAGTGTCTTCCCCGGGACCTTCAGGGAGGCCCCAGACCTCTCCACCCAAGAAAGAAGCCACAGTAAACAACACTCCCTGTAACATCTAGTCCCCAACCTAGATTGATCTAGTAAATAAGATCAACCTCAGGATGCACAAAACTGACTTGGGCCTGCTTTTCTGGAAGAAGCTACGCTCTGGGGACCATGCCATCCTGATGTAGTGGAGTGGGGGGATAGGAGGCGCCTTCTTTGGAATGGGGGAGAGAGAACTTTGTGGCTAGAAACTAGAAAAGAGCGGGATGTGGAGCTTGTGTCTGCAGAGCTGTGTGCACCCAGACTGGAGCTCGGGGGGAGAGCTATGGAAACCATCAGAGCCACTGTCCCTCATTCTGGCCCAGGCTGCCATGCTGGATCTGCCATACAATGTGGGGACAAAGCATAGCAACCTCCCACCCATGGAGGCCCAAGGGGAAATTTGACTAGGAAGGAAATGGGCAGTGCTCATCCGTCCCTCACCTGTGACCCCCTTGAAGCTGGATCTGGTCAGAAGAGGAAGATTCTGGGTCCAAAGGACTTTTTGGGGCCTCTGCCTACCCTGCTCTCCCTGCCCCCAGGCCCACCTGGTGACCAGGCCAGGCTCTGACAGACTTTTGGTTGTGGGCAGAAAGTTCTAGCCTCAATGTCACGTCTGCAAGGGTCTCCCGCCTGCACCGGCTGCAGCATCCAGTACTGGGCCCAGCGAAATCCGGAAATGGCCTTCTGGAACTGCAGAATTTGGCTCCTTCTACCTCGGCAGATCTGGCTGTCCCTCCCCTCCTGGCAGGACTGGAGCTGCTCAGTCCGCACCTTCTTGTTCCTTGCCGTCTCTCTATTCCATTTGCGTCTTTAAGACACAACTTTAGTGCCTGCCAGTTGCACGATTCCAGAGTGACCGACCCCAGGGGAGACTGGGGCTTTCCTCCATAATGCCTGGGACCCCCTCAAGAGGCTGCACCCCGGGAGGCTCCTGGATATTTTCTGGCCGCACACCGTCTAGCTGAGGAGCTGAGGCTGGAGTTCGGTGCGGCTGCCCGGCCCAAAAAAACCCTCCAAAGCGGCTCAGAGGTCCGGCTCTTCACCACCACCTCCTCGCCCCCTCTTGCAAGACAAACGCAAGCAAAATTAGGCATAACACACCTCCTCCCCCAAATACCTCCTACTTCCCCAATCTTCACAAACAGCCGGGGTGACACTCACAATCGCGCAGACGAGGCCCCTCAGCCCCGCGGCTCTCAGACCCTGCCTGGCTTGCAGGGACTCGTGGGGAAGAGGGAATCCGAATGCCACGACCCTGAGCGTTGGGGCCCCGGCGGCCCTCAAGGGAGACCAGCGGACTCCGTGTTCCGACTCCCGGCTCCCGCGCGCCTGCCTGCTCGCGGCGTTCGCTGGAGGCCCGGGTCGCGCGCTCTCCCAGGGTCGCTCCCAATTGCCCAGGCCCCAAGGCGAGACGTCCCACGGGGCGACAAAGTCCCCTGGGCACCGGGGCTCTCGGCGCTGAGGAACCGCTCAGGACTCCCCTTTCTCCGCCGGGAATTCGTTGGGACCGAATCTCGCCTAATCCCGCATCGGCCGAGGGCCACGGCGGGGAAAGGCCGGGATGGCGCGAGGTGTCCCTAGGGGGCCTCAAGCTGGAATGGAGGGGCTGCCAGGGTCACAGGCAGGGCCAATTACCCGCTGCAGAAAGCTCACAACTCCCGGCCTGCCACCGCCCCTGCACGAAATGGTCGCTGTCTGTTCATAAATAGAAAAGGAACAAATTGTCCGAATAATTGTGTGTAGAGGTGCGGAGAGAGAAGAGGAATTAACGAACCTGCCTGGGAAGAAAGGCTTCCTTCCTTGGCTTGAGTGAGCCGACTGCACCGACCGAATCGCACGGTGAGTGAGCCCGCTGAGACCTGGCGCAGCCCAGCGCGGTGGCTGAGTGAGTGGTGGCTTTCGGGGGCTCAGAAACCCATGCAGGGCTGGGGTCCTAGAGGCCCTGTACTGTGCCGCTGGGTGGCACACAGAGAATCTGGCTCAACCTGTTAACTATAATAGCGGCTTTGTGCGGCCGGATCTGTGCTTGGGGCTGTGTGGGCATGGCCTGAGCACTGCCTTGTGAAGTCCTCACTGTGGTGGCAAGTGTGGGGTTTGCCCTGGACCCAGGACTTAGATGTGGTGAGAATGACTTGCAAGTGGGCAGATCGGGTCCAGGTGTATGAGACAATTAAGTAGGCACCTCCAGACTGCAGAACTGGAGCAGCTGGGACTCAGAGGCCATGCTGGAGAGTGGTGGTGGTTGTGGAGCTGTGGCCCCGTGGGGGGGCTGCCCTGAGGGCTCCTCAGGCCAGAGGCGGGAGGAAACCCCCTTCTGCTCTGCTCACACCCACTTGCCCTGGCAGACCCTGCTCCGGAGCAGCTTCACTCTCCTAGGCCTACCTAATCATCTCAGAGTTCCTCCGCCAGGCCGCTGCCTGGGCAACTTAGAGGAGCTGCCTGCGCTTTTCCCGCATGGCTCGAATCTGCTACCAAATGTCGGCCCAGGAAGGCCCGTGGCACCGCCCACTTGCACCCACGCCTGGATTCCTTATTCTGGGGAGTCCAATAGGAATAAGCTAAAGGAGAGCAAGGACTGGAGCCAGTTCGGATTTTCCAAGGAACTCAGAGCAGACTTGGAAGCTGACGTGTGCTATGGGGGCGGAGTAGGGGCGGGAGGGGGTGGTGAGCAGAGGGAGTGAAGGGTACCCATGTTGGGTTAAGGGATGGGTACATACTCACATCCTTTCACTCACAGCCTGCATTTTTGTGAACAATCTCACATACCTCCTCCAACTATACAACGACGGGGGTGTGCAATGTTACACCAGGCGAGCCACAGGTGTGCGTTTCTAGGCACACACACGGACACATACACTCTCCACTATTGGGTTCGCAGTTACCCTCACAAGTTCACGCCAAGCGGGACCCAATCAAGCTCCTGTGGGTGGTTACCAAGTGGCCACCCGGCTGAGGGATCTCTTCCTTTCCTTACTCCATCTCTCCTCCCTCAGCTGGGAGGTAGGAGGGTCTAACTCGACAGCGGGTCGGCGTGGGGGTGGGGATTTCCTAGGCTAGCGCTTTGGTTCCCAGCCCTGTAGCTCCGGCGGGCAGCGGGACTCCACGCGCCTGAGGCTGGCCTTGGGGGCGGCGAGCTGCCCCGGATTCCGGCCGAGGACCCTTGCAAGGCCCAGAAGATGCAGAAGGAGACGTGGGGCGCGAGGCCCCACTGCTTTATACTGCCCTAAGGGGAGGTTTGATGGGAGTAACTCCTGCTACCTCTCGTTTTCCGCCCTGTAGCCCCAGCAGAAGCCACGTATCTTCAGTTCCTGCGAGAGGAGTCGCCGAGTCCCAAAAGCTGAAGGCCCAGAAACAGGAGCCAGACCTGGGGCTTCGCCTCAGAAACGCAGGACAAGTGAGTTCCGGGCGCCCTCTAGGGGCCACGGTGGGAGAGGCGCCTGGTATTAATAAGCAACGTTATTGAGGGCTTGCTGTGTTCCAGGCACTGCACTAGGTTTTAAAAGTATTAATACATTCCTAACAACCACCCTATGACGTAGGTGGTTTTTTCATTCCACTTTATAGACAAGGAAAATTGAAGTTCAGAGATATCAAGCAACCTGCCCAAGAGCGCGAGGCTGATAAAAGGTGAGGCCAGTATTCCAACCCAGGGTCTAATCCTAGAGCCAGGATCTTTGGGAAGGATGGCATGTCCAGGGTTGTGGTGGATTTGGGGAGGACTCCTCAAGAAGTGTCTCATTTTTGTGGAGGGAGCACTTAGCTCAGACGTCCACTGGGATTTTGCCCCCCAAAAGTTTTGAAAAAAATGTTTCCATTCTGCTCCAGTCCACTGTGTTCCCTCCAGCTCTGACTGCCCCCCTCTTTCCAGGACTGACTGTGCAGCACTGTGGGGCCCTGAGACCTCGCCCTCCTCTTTCTCTGCACCTATCCCGGTGCCCACATTTTGGGCCTTCCCAGCCTGGGCTTGCAACCTTCCAGGAGCCCTTTGGGATTGGAAGGGGATTCTATACACTTCCAGCCCTCCCTCTTCTGGGTCAGCAGGATGGGGGACTCAAACCAGCAAAAGTTAAAAATAGAAGTGAATGAATCACACTTTATTAGACAAAGGAATGGTGACAAGGAAGGAAAAACTTTTCTCTCCTTTTCCATCTGCTCTGTGCAAAGCCTGTAGCTGGGGGAGGCTGCTCTGGGCTGGAGGATGGGGGAAAGTGTTGGGGTGGGTAGGAGGATGAAGCCTCAAGGTCTGAGAGTTAGCAACATTTTAAACAGCAAGATTCAGTCAGAATACTGAAAAGAAAGGAGAGCATGGCCTTCTCTTCTTCCCTGCCTCCTCCCCCAGAGTGTTAGAGGAAGCAGTGGAGGGGGAGGTGTCCCTGAGGAGGCTTTTTTATATACAATATAGGGTGTACTTATATATAAAATTTAAATTTCACCTGACAGTCTTAAACTTTAACGTGTATAGGAAACACTTGGGAACCTTGTTAAAAATGTAGATTCTCATTCATTATGTCTAGGATGAGATCCCAGATTTAGAATGTGCTTCCTGTGATACTGATGCTACTTTAAGAATCAAGGTATTAAACTACCACCCTAAGTATGAGACCTAATCTTGGGCTCTCAAGCTTGGCTTTCAGATATGGCCTGCAGTCTTATCTTCATTTGCCCAAGAATATTTTTCCACTTTATTTAAAGAAATAAAGAATACAGACACAAATGATACCCCCAAATCCACTCTCCAGCATATCACAGGCCTCACCACTCCCTGTTATCTTATGTGCTGCTCCTTCCCTGTTACCTGCATGGCCCTTCTCATCCCCCATTCCCTCTTCCTTCTGCACCTGTCCCTCTTTCTAAAAACCTCTTTCACTCCCAGGTGGCTGCTGAGGTGACTTTGGACATCAGCCTAGGTTTTGAGCTCTGGTTCTCTACTTTCTAACCTTGGGCAAGTTAATTAAATTTTAGGAGCCTGCAGTTTCCTTGCCCAAATTATAGGGCCAACCCTTCCCGGATTAAAGGAGGGATTAAGGAGATAATACAAGTAAAAGCATCTGGCTCTTCTCAAGTGCTCCAGGAATTGCACCCAGGGTGGTTTGACCTCATTTTTTCTGCCCCCAGGCAGGGCGGGGTGGTAGGCAGCGGATCCTACAAGCTGCAAGGGCCCTGCCCTCCCCATCTCATCCCAGACCCTTGATTTCTGGGGAAAGTGACTGCTCTCCTTGAAGGGAGCTTTCCCTCCTCAGTGCTTCAAAGGGAGGCTTATTGTGTATTTAGGAGCCACGCTTCCGCCCCTCCTCGGAACAAGGAGCAGATTAGCAAATCCCCACCTTCACAGGCGCCCAACTGTCCATGGGGCAGACTGGTAGGGTAATGAGAGCTGGTACAGACCAGGTAGGGATGGGTGGAGATCCAAGGGAGGGAACCTAGGTGAGGACTGGCCCAGCCCTAGAGGGCTGGTGCCCGTGACAAGGTGGGGCCACTGCAGAGCGGTGTCTTCCACTGTCTGCCACCACACATGCCCCTCACACCCCCTGTGCTCACAGGCACATGCTGCCCACTGCCTGTTTCAAACTCTCAGGCTGGGTATCAGGCTGACCAGTGGGTCCTGCTGCATGTCTATACATCTATCCACTCATTCCCGTGAGATCCTTGGTTACACAATAGTTGCTGTCCCCAGACCTCACCCTCATGATTGCCTCCAGTCCAGGGAAGTGCAGGATTGTAGGCATTCACCCACCTGTTCCCAGGTGGCTTCGAGGCTACATCTGACGGCTTACAGACACGAAAGCGGGTCCCACTGGTTAGTAGAAAAATACTAATGGGCCTTTGCAGAGTCCTCTCATGTTCACTTGCTGTCAGGGGGAAATCAGCTCTTGCACACTGGCACACTTGTTAAGGAGCCCAGCCTGAGAGTTCACAGACACACAGTCATACCCTTTAACCCATTTCTGTCCACAGGCTTCAACTTCTCTCCCTTTCCCATCTCAGGCCAGAAATTGGGTGCTTTCTGGTCAGCACCGAGGTGGCACGGTTGCTGCACTGGGGCAGATTCTGCAGGTCGGTGGGCAGGAGGAGAGGGAGAGGACGGTTTATTAAGCCCACAGAAGCTCTAAGTCAACTCTGCGTCCTCAAGTTCTGTCCTAGGGGAGAGTGAGGTGCTGGTCTGCCTTTGTACAGGGGGTGCTGGGACAGAAGTCTACTCAAATCTCACTTATAGTGCTGATACATACCAGCCTGGACCTGGTGGGAGAGGATTCTAGAACAGAGAAAGTTAGGGGGCAGTGGTGTTAGAGAGACTGGATCTTTCTCAATGGGGAGGGTGTGGTGGAAGGGGAGGAGGCGGGGGAGGGGAGGAGGCGGGGGAGGGGAGGCGGCGGGGGAGGGGGGCCGAAGCAGCACATCACTGGAAGGCCTGTGGCCTTTGGTTGCACAAACTGAACAGGATACTCAGTTCAAATGACGCCACCCCTCTGCAATTCCCGAGCCTTCTGCCCTGGGGTGGGTTCCACTGTCCCCACCTCACAGCTTGTCATGGGGTGTCAGGGTCAGTTTACAGGACTCCAGTGAGCTTCCGCGCTGATTTGCCGGGAAACGCCCGCGCTGCGCGGAAGACAGCCCAGGGCGTGGGGAAAGCTCCGCTTTCCGAGTGCGGACGGCCTCAAGCCTAAACCGTCCAGGCCAAAAACTCAGCGGAGAGCTCTGTAGGGACGATTAGTGAGTGACTTAGAAGCACCGTCCCCCAACCACAGGGATTATGCGGGCCAGACAGCAGGGGACACTCGGAGGTAGGGGGTGCCAGGCTGGAATTTGCAAGAAATGCAAAAAGGGTGAGAACGGACTCTCGTTTTGAAGCCGGGCCTCCGGGGATCCCGGATGAGGAATATAAACAGGTTCCGGGAGAAGAGGAACAACTTGTACCGCCGCCCCCCAAAACTGGTCCTCTGAGGTGTTGAGGGGCCGGAAGCCGGGAAGAAAACGCAGCCTTCGTCCACTGGCATGAATCCGATCAGTCCGCAAAGTCGAGCCTCCAACCAGCTCTGACCCGGACTCCGCTGGCCTGGGGTCCTGTAGCCACAGGGCTTGGGAATCCGGCAAATCTGGCTCGTTCTTCAGCAGCGAGTCGCTCCGCTCGGCCGTGGACCTGAGCGCGCCGAGGGCCCACGGACTCCAGCCGCCGAGCGCTGACCTGGGCTGTGGAGGGCGGCCTGAGAGGCTGCGCCCTTGGCCGCGACAGAGAAGGGCTTGCCTTTTATTCCTACGCTTCAGGGACACATGTCCGACGCGGCTCGGGGCCTCAGCGAAATCTGCCACCAGGTTCTCCTGTGGGCTTCACCTCTTCCTGGGACCCAAGACCCGGGCTCGGGCAGTAAAGTGCGAGGCGGCGACCTCTCTTTTCCTGCCGGACTTCCCACCCCACCTCCCCACCCCCGCCTGAGAAATTGTGAGAAACGTGCGAGCGTGCAGGGGCCGTAAAGGCGCCGGGCCGTGCCCTGCCCAACCCGGGCACCGCCCTGACTGCGGATTCGCTCCTGTGGGTTTCCGGGCTGACGGGGCAGACTCGGAGTAGCGGAGCTCAACCCCTGGGATCCTCCCAGCCGCAGAAAGGTAAGCGCTTGAAAACCTGTGGGAGGGGCACGGGCCAGGAGGAGGGTTGCAGGGTGAGAACCCGGAAGGTGAAAGGTGCACCTGCCCCATGGCTCTGGGGTACAAATAACCACCACCCTGAACCTCCTCTCTAGTCCTACCTGTGTCTTGGGCCTTGTGGGGCTCCAGGAGGACTAGGGAGGACATTACTCTACTACAGAGAGATGACAGCTCCAAAGGGCCCCAATGGAATCGGCCAGCATTACTGTCCCCAGTAAGTTCTCCCATGACTTGGCCCAGCTTGCGGCATCCATGAAGGATCAGGGCAAAGGCAGAGTTGATATAAGAGTTCAGTTGCTGTTATTTTTCATTGAGGAGAAAGCACCTTGGGCTCCTTGTTGCTGGGAAGCACCCCTGCAGTTGTGCTGTGGGGTTCATTGTAGTGAGCGCTGCTGTCTCCTCTTCACATTCCTTGGAACAGCCAGGAATCCCAGGAAAAAGAAGAGTTAACCCAGCCCTGACTTCTCCTCCCCATACAGCTGCGTCTTCCCTGCATCTCTGTCTTTATGGTCCTTGAATATAGGGGGAGGAGGGGAGGAGTGCTGAGTCTTGTGGATCTCTGGGCGACAGCTCTGGTAACTGTCAATAGCCACCCCAGTTGTCCTGACAAATGAGTCTTCTTAGTGACCAGAGTCCACAAAAGGGACCCGTAGGAAACAGCATCCCTCTCCAGCCAATATAGGACAGAAACCCTTCTCACCTACATAAGGTTCAGAGAATACTTTTCTTTTTTTTTATTTTTATTTTTTTTTACGTTTTTATTGATTCATAATCATTTTACAGTGTTGTGTCAAATTCCAGTGTTCAGTACCATTTTTCAGTCATACATGGACATATACGCACTCATTGTCACATTTTTTTTCTCTGTGATTTATCATAACATTTTGTGTATATTTCCCTGTGCTATACATTGTAATCTTGTTTATCTGTTCTACAATTTTGAAATCCCAGTCTATCCCTTCCCACCCTCTACCCCGCCCCCCCCCCCGGTAACCACAAGTCTGTACAGAGAATACTTTTCAACTCCAGACTGCGGACAATAATCTTCTTCCTTGAATCCCTGATTTTTTCCATGTCCATCAGTGTGTAAGTCTCGGCTCAGCTAACTCAAGAGAAATTTTAGCTTATTGCAGGAATACTAGTTTACAGGATCAACAGGAAGGCTAAAGAATTAAGGAAGATTGTTTCAGGAAACACCACCAGATCACACTACAAGAAAGCCTGGTTAGTGCACTGCTATGGGTACCTCTGTTGCGAAACTCATGACATGAGTATCACTATGTGTAATCTTTCAAGTCTCCTTCCATCCTTTCTAACTTTAATCCTTCAGATTCAAAGCTTGTATGGAATCATTTGATTGGCTAAACCTAGGACACATGTAGGTGCCAGCTGTCAGAGATGGGGAGAAAACGAACAGTCCTTTAGGTTTCTATATGAAGAGCTAAAACTGCCCCCACCATTTACCTTGTTTGGGAGAAGTCTTCCCAATCAGGAAGAGTGTTCAGAAGCTAGGTTTAAAATAAGAGGAAAATGGTAAATGCCAATATAGTCCAATCCTTTGGCTGCCCAACATCCACACATGCATTTCTTTCTAAATTTACAGTCCTTTCCCCCCTCAAATTGCTCACATCATGTAACTATCATTTGTACAGAATGTATTCAACTTGCCCCCAAGGGAGACAGTGTAAGCCCTCATAGCTCTAAGTTCAAGATCTTCATTCTATTCCACTTTTAATTCTGTTGGGATTCTACCTCAGTATTTTGCAACCTATGAACTAAACCAAATTGTAAAGTTGATCACCGTCACACATAATACAATAGCAAAGGAAGAAGAACTGGAAGAAAATGCAAATAAGTTCAAATATATAAATGTCTAACATGACAGAAGGTCAGGAGATAAAAGCCTCTTTCTTTCTGCAATATGAGATTCTATTTTGTATTTATGACCTCCCTCCTCCTTTTTCCATTCGGCATTTCTTTTGCCTTCAGCCATCGCATGAGCTAGTTCGCATTCTTTACCCAGCAGAGAATAAGCCTTTATTTCTGAGGGATCTGAGCCCATGATGGCCCTGCCTATGAAGAGCTACAGTTAACTTTAACTTATACTTCGATTAACTTTTAAATTTTTATTTTCCATTAACTGGTATCACTGGACATAACAGCACTAGGAGGCACCTCAGGGGAGCCCCTTGGTTCCATGAATACTTCCTTTTGCCTATTGTGTAGAGAAAGAAATTCTGCTTGACCTTCATACTCAGAATTAATCACTCTGGCCAATCCCATAACCACCTTTAACCTGTTCATCCATTGGCATGAACAACCAGAAGTGAACAGGTGGCAATTTCTGCTTACAATTCAGTAAAAATATTGTTTCTCCTGGTGGGAAACTTTCTTCCCTTGAGGACTCCCTAACCCTAATCTAGCAGAAACAAGGGTCTCAAGAGTTGAGATGGTCATTGGGTACTTGTAGGAAGTGTTGCTCCCTCTTTCTGGACCCATATAATTGGGCTATGGGAGAAATAGAATTCTATATTAATCACTAGCCCATAGCATATGCCTCATCCTTGAAGTACTGTAGCATACCGCCAGAAAAAGCTAAGTTGTTCCAACAAAGAGACCAAAAACAATGGCTCAAACAAGATAAGTGTTTATTTTTCTCTTACGACCAGGGAAGACAGATAGCTCTGCTCTGTGAACATATCTCGAGACCCAAGCTAATGAGGAAGCTCCGCCATCATCAGCAGGTGCCTTCCAAAGTTGTTGGTCCTGGCCAGCTGGCGGCAAAGGGTGCAGCAACTCCGAGGCAGGCTCTTTAAGATGACTTGAAAGCTGTACCTTTCAATTCTACTCACACTCCATTGAGAAGAACTAGCTGCAGGAAAGTCAGGGAAATGTAGTCCCTATGTGGACAACCATATGCTCAGGAGAAAGGGAGGATGGGTTTTGGGAACAAGCCATAGTTTCCACTATACCATTCCATTGAACTGTAAAGTCAGCTGCTTCTGTATGGTGGAATACAGAAGATTGATGAATCTCATGGACCTTGGCCTCGTTTTCAAGCTGCAAATGTGAATTCTTGTTAAGAAGCAATATTGTGTGAGAAATAAGACAATTATAAAGCATAGAGTAAGTTCATGCTGAATAATATTGGTAGAAGCTTGATGATCAGGGAAAGTATATCCAAAATTCCTACTAGGTCCCTCCCTGGTTCACCTGCAGTTATAGAATAGTTTAGGGGGCTTGGGGGTGATTTCTGCTGCTGGAAAATTGGCCATTTTGCCGTGATGGTAACCGGGTTAACTTTGGTGTGAGATGTGGAGTTCATGTTATGGCTTTCATTTCAATTGTGGCACCATCTGTTCCAGGGAAGGTTGAGCAGGCCCTGAGTTCTCTGGGGAAGGGGACTAAGATCCAGAGTGCGATCTTGTCCATCTGATGATTGAGAACCTGTTCTATAATGGGAGGCATTTGGTGCTCAGTTTCATAAAACACAAATATTTTCACGCTCTATCTCCATCCCCAAAATTCTTCTTTATACTTTTTCTTTCCACTTCCTTGCCCCAGGTCTTTAATCTCATTCCTTTTAAGTCCTTGATCTTCTGTCTAAACCATTAGCTACTTCCCACACATTCACTGCAAATCTTTACCTCAGGCCATCTCCTGTCTACAGACAGAGTGAGTCACAAAATATACTGTTTAACATTCTGCCTGTTGGGAAGGTCTCTCCTCTCTGTTGTTTTTCAGAGCCACCCCTGAATGTGACTGTGCAGCAATGGTCTGTTTCTGGCCAGAGTTGGTGTGTTGCACTATAAACTAGACTGGAAACTTTTCTTCTTCAGTCATCTAGTGTTAGATGATCCACATGAGATCATAGATATGGAGTGAGGGGTGGCATATTGCGGTGTGTATGCGGATGAGGCAAGTTGGCTGCCTGTTGTGAAAAATACAAGGAGGCATTCACTCTCAGGGTCATGTAAGTACTGGATCAGCACCTGAGTGAGTGCCTCTATAAATGTTATACCTTAGGCATCTCGCCTACCACCCCCAGTCCAGGCCCTGGAGAGTGGCCTGTACAGAACACTTACTTATGCTCTCAAGACCTACTTGGACCTGATTCCATATATTCCACTTACACTTGAGGTTGGACTCTAAAGGGTACAGCCAGCATATGGCTAGGTAGATCAAATAGCAGCCAGCTCAGTTCATCTTGCTGTCTCATATACACCTAGTGATTTCTAGCAAATCAGGTCCCCTTCTGTGAGTGGCTGTTTTCTTTAGGGGAAAAAAAAACAAAACAAAACACCCTTGGTTCTTTTCTGGACCATGAGATGTGCCTCCACTTTGGTTATTCTATCATCACAGGCCACAGGCTCCACATAGAACCCTGATGTGCCGCGGAAACTCTGGACTTTCTCTGAGCCTTATCCATGTTCTACTCTGTCTCTTTTTATAAAAATTGAAGTATAGTTGATTTACAGTGTTGTGTTAGTATGGTCTGTTATCTCTTGATAATTAAATGGAGATGTGATAAGAATCATCACCCTTCACTTTTATAGTCTTTTATGGTAAAATTTTTACAGTTCCTCCAGGATGTAGCTTTTGATTTACTATTTTGGTACAAAATGAGAGCTCCAGGGGCTTCCATTTTGCCTTTCCAACTACTGGATTACCAGTGTGTTTTTTTGTTTTGTTTTGTTTTGCTAGTTCCTGAGCATAGAAAGAATGATAACCATGGAATGGTTTTACACTGGGCCCGCTGTAAGGCAGATAAGTTCCATGAGCCTCCACTCTGATGGACCACGGGGACCTTCATGTTAGCTGAAAGACAGTGACTAATAATCTCTCAAAAAGGTGAGTGTTTCTCTTTCTCTAAGGCTTAATTACCCTGGGAGTAGGAGTGGTTGAGGATTCCTTGAAGGAAGGCCAAGAGGAAAAATCAATACAGTTCTGTGGTCAAGAGCACAGGTCTGGAGCTGGACTGTGTGTTTGAATTCTCTCTGTGTCTTAGTTTCTTAAACTGTAGAATGGGGGTAATAGTGCTTATTTCATAGAGTGCTTTCCCCCTGTAGTCATGTTTGAGATACAACTTGCATACAGCAAAGTTCGCCCTTTTTAGTGAACTATGAGTCCTGACAAATGCATCCACTTGTATTATCACTGTGGAAACTCACAAATTACAGCAGTAGTGTGTGGTGAATACCACTCATAGTGTAGCCGGCAAGAGGTGCTCCCAGACTGGCCTGGGAGGGGCAATCAGGGAAGACGGGCTAGAGGACATGATCTCTAAGCTGCGCTGAAGGGTGAGAGGAATTTGAACAATCAAGGTATAGAACATTTTGATCACCGCCTCCCCCCAAATTCTCTCATACCCTTTTGTAGTCAACCCCTCCCTCATCCCCAGCTCCTGGCAATATCTTCTCTATCTTCTTTCCCTATAGTCTGCCTCTTCTAGAATATCATGTCAGTGGAATCATACTGTATGTAGCCTTTTGAGTCTGGTTTTTTTCACTTGGTGTGATGCAGTTAAGATTCATCCATGTTGTTATGTGTCCGTGGTTGATTACATTTTTTGAATTGAAGTACAGTTGATTTATAATGTTGTGTTAGTTTCTGGTGTACAGCATAGTGATTCAGTTATACATTCTTTTTCATTATAGGTTATTGCAAGACACTAAATATAGTTACCTGCGCTATATAGTAGGACCCTGTTTATCTATTTTATATATAGCCGTTTGTATCTGCAAATCCCAAACTCCTAACTTATCCCTCCCCACCCCCTTTGGCAACCACAAGTTTGTCTTCTGTGTCTGTGAGTCTGTTTCTGTTTTATAAATAAGTTCATTTGTCTCATTTTTAAGATTTTACATTTGGTAAAGTGATATCATATGTTATTTGTCTTTCTCTATCTGACCCACTTCACTTAGTATGACAATCTCCCGGGCTCATCCATGTTGCTGCAAATGGCATTATTTAATTCTTTTTTATGGCTGAGTAGTATTCCATCGTGTTCATATGCCACATCTTCTTTATCCAGTCATCTGTTGATGGACATTTAGGTTGCTTCCATGTCTTGGCTATTGTAAATAGTGCTACTATGAACACTGGGGTGCATGCATCTTTTCAAGTTAGTTTTCTCTGGATATATGCCCAGGAGTGGGGTTGCTGGATCATATGTTAACTCTATTTTTAGGTTTTTTAAGGAATTTCCATTCTGTTTTCCATAGTGGCTGTACCAAATTACATTCCCACCAACTGTATAGAAGGGTTCCCTTTTCTCTACACCTTCTCCAGCATTTATTGTTTGTGGAAGTAACTCATTGCTTTTCATTGCTGAGTAATATTCCATTATATGGATGTACTACAGTTTGTGTAACCATTCACAGTTGAAGGACATTAAGGTTGTTGCCAGTTTGGGGCAATTATGAATAAAGCCAGTATAAACATTTGTGTTCAGGGTTTTGTGTGTACATGTTTTATTTTTCTCTCATTAAATACACAGGAGAGGGATTGCTAGGTTGTTTGGTAATTACCTGTGTATAGTGTTATAAGAAACCATCAAACTGTTTTCCAAAATGGCTGTACCATTTGTTATTCCACCAGCAATATATAAAAGTTTATAGTTATCCTGGTCAGTGCTTAGTATGTTCAGTTTTTAAATTTTTAACCATTTTAAGGTAGTGGTATCTTATTGTGGTTTTAATTTGCATTACCCTAATGATGAATGGCATTAAGCATCTTTCCATATGCCTATTTGGTAAAGTGTCTGTTCAAATCATCTGCCCATTTTTTTTTCATCTGCCCATTTAAAACACTGGGTTGCTTACTTTCTTTTTACTGAGTTTTAAGGGCTCTTTATGTATCCTGGGTATAAATCCTTTATCAGGTACATGTTTTGCAAATATTTTCCTCTGGTCTATGGCTTGTCTTTTAATTTTCTAAGTGATGTTTATTGAAGAGCAGAAATTCTACCATTTTTATGAAGTTTAATTTATCAGTTTTTTCTTTTGTGGATAGTGCTTTTGGTGTCATAGCTATGAAATCTATACCTAATCCATGGTCTTTGATTTTCTCCCATGTGTTCTTCTAGATGTTCTATAGTTTTAAGTTTTACATTTAGATTTATAATCCATTTTGAGTTAATTTTTGTATCTGCTGCAAGGTATTGATCAACTTCTTTGGTATATGGATGATACCAAAGAAATAAATCAATATATATAAAGAATTTAGAACAGTGCTTGGCACATGATGAAATTCAATAAATGATGGCTATAATTATTAAAGAACATTCTTTTTCTGCTATTACAGAATTCCTCACTAAGGACATTGTATCTTCCTTTTACTTAAGGGTCTTTGAGTCTCTGAAATGACTCAGGTCCAGAAATTGAGGGAGGCACCTCATTCTCTATCACTGAGGCTTACTAATCTGTCATTGTTACTTACTTACCGGCAAGTAACAGAGATCTGGAATAACAGTGTCTTAAGTAAGGTAAAAGTTCGTTTCTTTCTCACGTGACTGTCCTAATGTAGGCTGTCCAAGGCTGGATGATTTCCTATTCCACAAAGCCACTCAAGGACCTACATTATTCTTTATCTTGTTTTCTCACCATGACTAGAGTATTGCCCTTGTCCACGTTCCAAAATGCCTCATAACCACTTTTATATTCTGAGCAGCAGGTTGGAGAAAGAGAAAGTAGAAAGATACAACCCCTACTTTTTAAAAATCTCCAATACACAACATGTTACTTCCACTCATATTCTGTTGGTTAGAGCTTAGTCACATGGCCATACCTGCAAGGGAGGCTGGGAAATGTAGTCTTCATTCTTGGTAACCACGTGTTCTGCTAAAAATCAGAGGTTCTGCTTCTGTGAGAGATAAGGGGAAACTAGATATTGCAAAACAATTAGTAGACTTTGCCACAGTAACTCAACCAAGCCTCTCCTCACCGGTTTTTACAATTAAAAAAAAATACTTATCAGGGTGGCATCTTAGTGGACTATTTTGGTTCCAGGCAATTAATTTGAAGAAGCAAAAATGATTATAATGGTCAGGGACGTTTGTCCATGAGATAACTCTCAGCTCTGTTGACAAATGTGTTATTTATGTTCATTTGCTTCTGCTATTAACTGTCACTACTTAGTCTAAAACACACAGAATTCTTCGTTTTCTTTGAAACAAAGAGCCACACACCACCTCACAATGGCACCCTGACCTGTAGAACACAGCTTACTAAAATGCTTTTGGTGCTTCTGTATTTCCTTTACCAACATATTTTTTAAGTTATTTGAGAAGAAAACATATGGAGCTTTTTCCAGGGACATAATTGGGGGGATGGTCAAGCTGCACCCAATGAATCTTCTCCAACGTTCCTATCTTTATAAGTCTTCAGATTCCTTTGAGGTGATACTGTTTCTGATATTGTAACTTTAGATCAGGCTGAATTTAATGATGTATGACACATATAAAAGATTCTGAAGTTGGTGTTCTAGCTTGAGTAGCTGGGAGGCCTGGTTTCTGTGACCTACCTGCTCCTTCAAACAAAATCACCCGCAGCCCCAAATTGGCATGCCAAAATTTGACATATCTGAATAAAATGTTGAGTAGAAAGGGTGGGGCATGAGGATAAATGGTGTCCTCTTGCAAGGTAACTCCAGGAGAAGTCAGGGCATCGTCAGTCAGGGGAGGGGCATTGCCAGACAATGGGGAGGAGCTGCTTCAGCTGGTAAGGAGGCTCAGTGATAGTTGGAGTTCCCTCTGAATGTCTCTTATATAGCCTGTTCCAGTTCCTGGGGTCCCATTTTTCCTAATCAATGTCTTAATTTTATAAGACTGCTATTTGTCTAACATTATAATTCAAGAACCATTAGATCAAATTCCAAGATTGGTTTTCATTTATGTTACTACAAAAGATAAGATACATTTTTAAGCAATGATAGAAGGTCCATGGGTTTAAGTTATTACTTTGAGCTGATAATTTAGGGTTCAAGCTTGTTATCCAATTTCCATAAGCTGTGCTGTGGTTTTAGAAGCTGGTTCCTCATCCCAAATGGTCTCCTAAAGCCTGTCCTCTGTGGAAATTTCATTTTAGGTGACCACAGGCAATAATTTAATTAGCTGGTTTGCATTACATAGCATAGGCTAAGAACTCCCATTCCTGAATACCAACAGCGCTAGCTAAGGTAAATAACCAACCCCCATGCCCTCTGTTCCCCTGCTAATCTTTTGCCAGCCATCTTTTTTCTTGTACCAATTTATGTACCAGTTAGGGTTCTTGACAGCAAGCACATAAATTAACTTTGGCTACCCTAAAGATAAAAGCATAAAGAGAGTTTTTGGAAAGATTTTGGGTAGCTCATAGAATCCACATAAATGCCAAAAGAATCAGTGTGCAGGAACCAGGAAGGAAGCAAATGCAGCCAAGTTCAAACCACAAGAGTGGTCTGGTTGGGAGTCCCCACTGGTATCCCTGCCACTGCTCACTTAATGTGGCTGGTGCCGTGTTCCCAGCCCCACTGCCCTCACTTTGAATAATTTTTCAGCTGTCCCTACACCTTTGAGTCATCCTGAAAGGAGCATTAACTGGCTCAACTTGGGCATCTGCCCACAGGCTAGCCGAGAGCAGGTAGAGAGGGAAAGCTCTGGCCCTTTAGCTTCTCTAATGGCAGATGAGATCCTGCCTTCCTCCAAGACACATACAAAGGGGGTTCCTCCCAAATTGGAGAGAGCCAAACACACACACACACACACACACACACACACACACCCTTGTAGTTGGGAATTTCCTGGCTTTCCCTTTCTTCTCCACAGGTGCAAATGCCACACCAGGCCATCAGTCCAAATTGGGGTGTCTTCC